GGGGCGGGCCCCAGCCATTTAAATTTAAATGAAGCCGCGATTATTTTAATCGCGGCTTCATTTCCCTTTTCCGATCTGGCTAATCTACATGCCTCCGTCGAAGGAGGCATGTAGTCTAGACACACCCTTAGATTAGCCATCCCCACCAGAAATCCCAGTGGAGAAAAGGCACAGATTTTTTTAATCTTGATATAGCAGATTGAAACCAATGCTACACTGTGGGGTGAGAGAGGGAGGGCATTGACTTTGGTTAACTATACTGAGGTAAATCCGATCTGGCTAATCTACATGCCTCCGTCGAAGGAGGCATGTAGTCTAGACACACCCTTAGATTAGCCATCCCCACCAGAAATCCCAGTGGAGAAAAGGCACAGATTTTTTTAATCTTGATATAGCAGATTGAAACCAATGCTACACTGTGGGGTGAGAGAGGGAGGGCATTGACTTTGGTTAACTATACTGAGGTAAAACATATCTGTGCCTTGTCCCCAGTAGGGTTTTACATGGAGTTAAATAACAGATACACCTGTCTGAAATAAAGACAGAGTCTCAGACAGAGGGGGTGCATCTAGACTGGCAAGATTTTGCGCAGAAGCAGCCAGCTGTCTACACTGGCCGCTTGAATTTGCGCAAGAGCACTGATGTTCTAATATAAGAATTCAGTGCTTCTTGCGCAAATATTTTGATGCTCCCACTCAGGGATTAGCCCTCTTGCGCAAGAAGGGCCAGTGTAGACAGGCATGTTAATTTTTTGCGCAAGAAAGCCCGATGGCTAAAATTGGATAAGCTAAAATGGGATAAGCCCTCTTGCGCAAGAGGGCCAGTGTAGACAGGCACCTTAATTTTTTGCTCAAGAAAGCCCGATGGCTAAAATGGCCATCGGAGCTTTCTTGTGCAAAAGTGTGTCTATCCTGGACATGGCTGCTTTTGCACAAAAACACTTTTTGTGGAAAAGCGTCCGTGCCAATCTAGACGCGGTTTTGCACAAGAAAGCCCCGATCGCCATTTTCGCCATCGGGGCTTTTTTGCTAGATGCAGCCAGAGGGTTAGATACAGAATTTATTTACACTGGCTGAATTTTTCAGAGCAGCCTCAGGGATCGGGACACAGTTCCAAAATCTCAGCCGCTCTGTGTGAAGCAAGGTAACAAAGGAATAGACAGATAATTCCACAGCTAGTGCATAACTCCAACCTAACTAAGACTTAGGGTTGCACTAGAAACATTTGCCAATATAGCAGTCTCACTTTGGTGGGTGATTTATTCTGACATTTCTGTACTGACAGTAGCCCTAGCATAACGATTATTTTGACAAAGTTTTTTTGCTGGTATAGCTTATTTTGTTCAGGGAACTGGTATATACTATACTGGTGATGCCACTATACAGTACTGGCAAACCCTTTCTAGTGTAGACCAGGTTGAAGAAGGACTGTGGGTATAAGCAGGAAGCTGACAGGTAGCATACTCTGTGTGAGCTCACCTATCCCTTTCTTGCTACAGCATTCTGGCCATGTGGGAGAGAAACACTCTCTCTGTAATCTCCTCTGAGTTAAGTCTAGCTGCCTCTTAGTGAGATCTTGGAGCAGGGTTGGGAAACCTAAGCCCTGGGAGCTGGATGCTACCCCCAGTTTGCCTGGATCCAGCCCTGGAGGTTCAGGGTTTCCCCCCCCCCCCTCAAATTGGCGAACCCATGCTGGTGCTCCAGCCCACCGCTGCCTCCCTGCAGAGCTGGAACACATAAAAACTACTATCCTGACTCCTTTCCTTGGACTTGTGTCACCAGCAAAATAACTTGTTGGTGACACCTGGTGCAGCTGTATGCGGATGGTTTAACTGAAACTATCCAAACAAAGCACATAGCATCATTATACAGGATTTCCTGGCTGATTGCAGCTCCTCTGTTTTCAGCAGATTTATTTGTCCCACTACTGAACCCTGCTATTAATACTGGGAAATTGTGCTAATGCAGACAAAGTAGCAGAGTGACCCCTGCATGTTGCAGGGAGTCAAATATTTCCTCCCCATGTCTTTGAACTGCAAGGCTGTGTCTAGACTGGCAAGTTTTTCCACAAAAGCAGGTGCTTTTGCGGAAAAACTTGCCAGCTGTCTACACTGGCCGCTTGAATTTCCGCAAGAACACTGACGATCTCATGTAAGAAATCAGGGCTTCTTGTGGAAATACTATGCTGCTCGCATTCGGGCAAAAGTCCTTTTGCGCAAAAGTCCTTTTGCGCAAATGCTCAGTGTAGACAGCTCAGATTTGTTTTGCACAAAAAAGTCCCGATCGCGAAAATGGTGATTGGAGCTTTTTTGCGCAAAAGTGCGTCTAGATTGGCCACGGATACTTTTGTGCAAAAGTGCTTTTGCGGAAAAGCATCCGTGCCAATCTAGACGCTCTTTTCCGCAAAAGCCTTTAAAGAATCATGCCAGTCTAGACGTAGCCCAATAGTAATGGATCTCTAATAGATTCCGTCCTGGGATAATTTGCATTGAATAATTTGGTTCAAATGGATTGCATTCATAGCGTACAGTTAGTTAAAGCTTATCACTTTCCACCCACTTTCAAATACAAGCTTCCTAACCCAAAATAACTTACAATACAGTAAAAAAAATAGAGAAAGGGTATCTGAGCACAAAAGTTTGAGGAGACTTAGAGTGAGTCACCACCCAGGCAGAGCCCATGTTCATAATCTGTTTGATGGCAAGAGCTTGACTCTCTGCATGCTGTTCTATGCTAGATTCCACAGGCAGCCTGGACGGTGTCGACATGCTCAAAGTGCACTGCAGTGAGCCGCACCTGATTATTCAGCTTAAATTCTGCGTGCGAGAAAACTGCCGCAAATTCCTTCGGAGCTACCGGGCTGGGTTGTTCCGCGAGTCTCTCCAGAACCATCTCCGAGTCACCCTGTCAGTGACAGCTGTATCTGTTGAAGTGGAGCTGAAAACTGGCAGTGAGCAGTTGGATCACATGCTGAATGAGGAGGAGCGCTGTTTGGACTATATCTACAAAGAAAAGGTATATTGGAAGGAAGGATGCTCCAGTACCTAGGGCCCTAGTTTGGGACATAGAAGATCTGGGTTCAAGTCCCTGTTTTGCCATGTACTTCTTGTGTGATCTCGGACCAGTCACTTATACCAAATATATATAGATACTGGCAGACTTACCCAGCATTGCCCGTTTCCTTCAGGGCAGGGCCTTGGGAAGGTGCTATTCTTCCCAACAGGTTCCCCCAGCTGCCATGAGCCTTTTTTCTCCCCCTTCACCCCAGTGCTGCAGCCAAGGGCCAGGAGGGAGGGAAAGGGTTTGGGGCAAGGGTCTGATAGCAGTTAAGATGGCAGAGTCCCAGCCATGCTGGCCACTCTCTTGGTGGTGTGGCTGCCCCCACTGGACACTCTGTAGTATAGCTCCCCTCTGCGGGCTTCCTGCTCTCAGTGGCCACTCTCATATCTATCGTGTCCCTCCAAACAGCAGCCCCTCCCTTACCTTTAAAAGTAAGGTGCTTTTGAAAATGCCACTAGGCACTTGAATACCTTTAAAAATCTAGCTGTTAGCCTCTCTTGTGCCTCTGTTTCCCATCTGTACAATGGGGATAATAGCATTGCCCAACCACACAAGACATGAAACAAGGTGGTTTGGGTCCTGAAGAAAATGAAAGAACAGAAGAAGAGCGCTGCAGAACACAAAAGCTTGTCTCACCAAAAGAATTTGGTCTAATAAAAGATATTACCTCACCCTCCTGATGCACATTAACATAGCTTCATTGACTTCAGTGGAGCCTGGGTGCTCCTAGAATACAAGTAACGATCAGTAATAAGTTTCCCTCCACTGTGTGATCATTTATTGAACCTGTGTGTGGGGAAAAAACAGTATAGGGAAAGTTTGGGGAAAAGAGCCTTTTAAAAAATGAAAGCGGCAGGATGCATCTGACGAAGTGGGTCTTTGCCTACGAAAGCTTATGCTCCAACACTTCAGTTAGTCTATAAGGTGCCACAGGACTCCTCGCTGCTTTTGCAGATTCAGACTAACATGGATACCCCTCTGATACTTAAAAAATGAAGATTACTTAGTACAAATTCATAGATTGTAAACCCATAACAGAACATTAGATCACCTAGTCTGTTCTCCAGTATATCAGAGAGATAAATTTCACCTGGTTACAACTGTATTGAGCCCAGTAACTTGTATGGCAAGGCATATCTTTCAGAAAAGAATCCAATCTTGATTTGACAGCTTAATGAGAAGGAGAATCCACCGCTAAATGACTGGCACTATTTGCTTACAGCCTGACCGCCTGAGGGACGAGGAAATTGCAGAGCTGGAGGAATCTTTCAGAAGCCTGACTTGTCAACAGAAGAGCAACAACACAAATGAGTACAACTCTTTAAACTCCTCATCTCTGCATTACTGTTCTGGAGGGAGCACTCTGCCAGCAGGAGCCACCTTCATCTTTCAGGAACAACAATTTGGTGAGTGGTCACAAGTGAGCCATCAGACACTTAAAGCCCTGGGTCTTCCACTCTTTAAACTTCACAAAGGAAAAAGGGCTTGTTCTGGATGAGTCAAAAACAGAATTTCTCAAATTATGAGCATAGGAACATAGGAGTTGCTATATGGCCGCACCTGGTTTCTGACTGTGGCCAGCACTAGGAAGTGTCCACGTTATAGTCAGGGGGCATGATTGCAGCATGCATAGCCACACCCAGCTAGCTTTGATTGAGCTAACTTTATAAAAACAGCATTATGGTCACATCACCATAGGCAACAGCATGGGCTAGCCACGTGAGGACAGGCCAACTCAGACATATGGGGCAGCTGGCTTGCACCACCTCATCCACACTGCTCTTGTTTTTTCAGCTCACTCACGCAGCAGTCACACCTCCTGATTGCTGGGTAGACATACACTCAGAGTAGGTGCAAGGAACTCTACTGTAGGCAGTTATGGTATGTAACTTACCCTGAGGGAAAGTGCTTCCCATCCCATTAATGAGATGCAGGCTTGTAGCCATCGGCTATGTCTACACTGGCACGTTCTCATGCAAAAACTCTTTTGCGGAAGAGTTCTTCTGCAAAAACTCTTCCAGAAGAGAGCATCTACACTGGCATGTGCTTTTGCACAAGAGCATCCATGCCATTGTAGACGCTCTCTTGCACAAGAAAGCTCTGATGGCCATTTTAACCATAGGGCTTTCTTGTGCAAGAAAGTCATGTTGCCTGTCTACACTGGCCTCTTGCGCAAGAACAGTTGCACAAAAGGGCTTATTCCTGAGCGGGAACATCAGAGTTCTGGCACAAGAAGCCCTGATTTCATACATTAGAACATCAGTTTACTTGCGCAAGAACATGCGGCCAGTGTAGACAGGCAGCAAGTTTTTGCGCAAGAGCCAAGATCACACCAGTGTAGACATAGCCATAGAGTTTAAGGCCAGAAGAGACATTAGGTCATCTGCTCTGACCTCCCGTGTCCCACATGCCAATGCCCAGCACCTGCACACTACAGCCAATTACTGCAATGAGACCAAAGTATCACAGCCCACAGGAGACTAGACTGTTACCTGCTACAGGCGGAGAATAGGTGGAACACAGGTGCACCAGGGCCCAAGGCCTCCATAGTAAGAGGGAAATGATTAAGGGAAAATCCTGGTAAATGACCTGCACACACACAAAGGTCATGGCCCAGCTAACTCAGAGAAAATTCCTTCCCAGTCCCTCATAAAGTGATCAGTTGGATGCACAGGAACCAGCCAGCCAAGCACTTGAGAGAGAGAGTGCTCAGTGATGTGTTGGACCATTGGTGCCCGCTAAGGATTTGAAATATCAACTAACTGACTAATCAAATAGTTGATGTATTTTGCATCAACTATTTGAATAGTCGATAGGGTGCCTCTGCCTTTGAAGTGTAGCAAGAGCCCTAGCCTGTTAGACAAACCTATGTCTAAAGTTAGGGCCCCTGAAATTGAAGGTCTAATGGCCCTGATTGAGCAGATAGCTACCCGAGTTTCCCTTCACATCCCTGCCAGTGTACCCCAGCTGTGAGTTGCTGCACTCCAGCTGCTTCTCGTGAGCAGACAGATTTTTAAATGGTCATAAACTCCAAAATGGGTTTGTGGGGTACACAGTAGAGTCCACCTGGGTCATTGCTGAGTATGAGTTAGGCCCATCTAAGGATTTTATATGTAAAGAGCATGGTAGGATCTGCCCTCATTGTTTCAGGGTTAACAGAAGAAGCTGAGAGTATTTAAAAATGGAACAGAGAAAAAGCTCAGAAAGAAGAGTCTGGGGCTTTTAAAAGGGTGAGGACGGGCTGTGTGAGGTAAAGGGGGACAGCCAAGAGAAAAGCAAAGCCCATCAAACAAATGAATAGTTATGTCCCCATTTGACAACTTAGCAACATGTGCAGCCCCAACTGGTCTCACAGGGCATTCAAAACATATGGCTAGTTCATCCACCAAGCTGGACAGGTCTTTATTAAGTATGAACTCACTTCGATACATGGGTCACTATCCTCTAATCTTGATAGCAGGTGCTAGCTGCTCAAAACCAGAAAATAGCACATTTTAACAGTCACAAATAAGTTTCTGCTAATTGCCGCTTGGAATGAATGGACACTGAATGTTCGTTAGTATAAATTGTGAACTCAAACCCTTCCCTCCTCAGCAGGTTTTCTAAAACATGCATCACACAGTCACTACCTCTACATCTAAGTTACCTAGGATGCGATCTCTCATAGTCACAGACTGGACGAGCGGAGAAGAGATTCTCAGTGGTAATGACTCCTCTACTGATAGTGAAACACCATTTAAAATTCACATTCAAGGATGAAAAAGAAGCACATACAAATTATATGAGGTCTGCTGACACAGTAAAAACTCTGTTGTCCAGCTCTCGATTAAGCAGAAAGTTCAATTAACTGGCATTTCTGGCATTTCCCAATACAAATCTTCAATCTAGTAACCAGGCCTAGCATACTACTCAATACCAAGGTTCCCTCTACACTGCAGAGTTTTTCTGGAAAAATGGCTGCTTTTTTGGAAAAACGACACTTATATCCACACTGCAATTGCGTTCTTTTGAGAGAAAGTCAAAAGAATGCAGTGGTTATTCCGACATTGGTAAACCTCTTTCTATGAGGAAGAAACCTTCTCCAAGCTCTTTTGGAAAAAGGCGTGTGTGAACAGAGAAGAGGGTTTTTTATTTTTCGAAAGAAGAGGCCTCCAGGAAAAAACACAGGTGCCCTAATAGCCACTCCATCCATAGTAATCACAACTTAAATGCGAGATAGTGTCCATTCGGCGTGGATTGCTTTTTCAATGTGCTTTTGCTGTGTGGATGCTCTCTTTCAAAAGAAGTTTTTTTGGAAGATCTCTTCCGGAAAAGCTTCTTCCAAAAGATGTAGGCTAAGCTGCGTGGTGGTGTGTACCACGAGTTGCTTAATCAGTTCTGCTTAGCCAGAGGCTCAGGACTCTTCACATGGAACTGCCTGGCTGGGCAGGGCTGATTAAGCAGCTGCAGGGCTATGTTGCCACACAGTTTAGAGGGAACCTTGCTCAGCAAGTTATGCAAATGCATATTCTGTACTCTACTTTTATGCAGAAGAGGCAAAAAAGCAAACTGAAATCAGGGATTTATTCCAAAAAGCAGCTTTCAGGGGGTGCCATCGGGTCATCACAGATTCAGCCCAATCTACTGCATGAAGTTAGGGCCCCTGAAAATGAAGGACTAATGGCACTGATTGGGCAGATAACCACCCAAGTTTCCTCTCACATGTCTGCCAGTGGGCCGCAACTGAGAGCTTCTGCTGTTAATAATTGATATTGAGAATGGTGACCCTGAGACACTGAAAGATCCTAAAGTGCTTTCTGAATCACCAAAGAAAGATTCAACGATGTTCAGTGTAGTGTTAGTGTTCAGTGTGTCTTCAGTCATCTGGGTGTGCACCCGCGCTGTCCAGAGTGATATGTAGTGTCACATGAGAACCTACTGCATAGCAAATTTTGTCTATGAACACCTAAAAGAGCCACTCTGCAGTGCAGCATTACTACTGGATTGGGGAGTTCCTGTTCACTGTGTTATATTTTACTCATTTAATTGTATTCCAATTATTTGAAAACTGGCATTCCATTGGTAAAGTATAACTTTTGGTTAACCAGAATGTTGGATTAACAAGCATTGCCCTTACCTCCAACATGCTGGATAACAGAGCTTTTACTATAATGCCACAAACAGCAGCATCCCTTTATATTTTCTATTACCACAAAGCATACACATGAAAGGCTGCTAAGAAATGCTCAGAGCGATTACACAAATCCCCACAATCGCAGCTACTGCATGGTTGATTAGTATGAATATAAGACTCTTATGAACACATTTCTATTGCACTGATTTCAAAATCTGAAATTTATAACTGGAACCAGCTGGCATTTTGTCCTGGAGGGGCTGGTGAAGTTGGTCACAGTGTCAGCATGCAAATCAATTCAGTTATCCCAGCTTCCCTTTCTCTGTATATGCTGATCTGGATGCAGTTTCTCTTTCCTAATGCCCTTATCATGGAAAATGTATCTCTTTAAATTCAACCCTGGCACAAGCCCCTCAAGCACCAAGGAGCGAGTTAATGAAAACTGTAGCTAACAAGGAGTGGGTACAACTCCATGATAGTGTTTAATACACTACATACATCAAGGGCTGCGTCTAGACTGGCATGATTTTCCGCAAATGCTTTTAATGGAAAAGTTTTTCCGTTAAAAGCATTTGCAGAAAAGAGCATCTAGATTGGCACGGATGCTTTTGCGCAAAAGCACTTTTTGCGAAAAAGTGTCCGTACCAATCTAGACGCAGTTTTGCGTAAGAAAGCCCCAATCGCTATTTTCGTCATCGGGGCTTTTTTGTGCAAAACAGTTTTTACCTGTCTACACTGGCCCTCTTGCGCAAAAGTATTTACGCCAGAGGGCTTTTTCCCGAGTGGGAGCATCACAGTATTTCCGCAAGAACACTGACAATCTTACATTAGATCGTCAGTGTTCTTGCGCAAATTCAAGTGGCCAGTGTCGACAGCTGGCAAGTTTTTCCGCAAAAGTGGCTGCTTTTGCGCAAAATCTTGCCAGTCTAGATGCAGCCAAGATCTTTTCCTTGGGGATCTTTAGCATACTTATGCCTATGCACAATAAAATATTATGTAGACCATAACATGCCCCTGTGTTGCTTCAGTGCAGTGATGAACCGGGACTCCAATGTGCTAAGCACTTTGTACTATCTTTAAGTCAACAGAACACTCACCCCAGATGACCATCAAAAGTTTGCCAAGCTTGTGTCGAAGAAATGGAAGCAGGTGGGGAGGTCTTTGCAGAAGAGCTGCCGTGCCCTTCGTGATCCTGTTATTGACAACTTGGCCCACGAATATGACCGAGAGGGATTGTATGAGCAAGCGTACCAGCTCCTTCTCAGGTTTATCCAGTCAGAGGGCAAGAGAGCTACATTACAGAGGCTGATTGCAGCCCTGGCAGAAAACAGTCTCATATCCATAGCAGAAGACCTCTTGGGCCTCCACCATAGTGAGAACAACACATCATAGACAAGGAAGGGAGAAGCCAGGAATTTGCTTGTTTCAGACAGTTTCCAAGGCTGTTGTCAATGTCCCAGGAATGTAAAGCTCAGTCAACCACCATGATATCTACTCCACTGAGAATGCTAAAGAAAAGCCACAGTGCTGTTACCAAGTCAGCATGTGTACTGAATTACTGCAGGATTGACACACTTCATTGTACACCATTGCCAGGAGACAATCAATGCTGTTATAGGCTGGGGAGCATGGCTTCCCATTGGCTCCCAGTAAGTATCCTTCTGAGGAGACATGTTGCAATGCACCTAACAGTGCTACATCCCAAGCCTAAAGATCATGCCAACATGGTGTATGTCAAAGAGCAACTGCGGGCCTAGAGAGTCTTTTGGAAAGCATTCTACCATTGCTTAGAAATAATTATGCTAATTGAATATAGTACAAACTTGGAGGGGTCCCCCCCTTCATTTTTTACAAATAAGGACATTTCATGACAACAGTAACTCCCCACCCAGCCTACTGAAAGCTTATCTGCTCTTTCCTTTCTCACCCTACCAGAAGCCATACTCCTTACTCTGATAAAGTCTCCAAGCAAGCCATGAGGTCCATTTATCACATCACTGGCTCTCTTTAAAACCTGTCCTAGGTTTGGTCAGAGATGTCCAATACCGCTGCCTCTGAGACATCACAAACCAGGAGGGTCAGGCGTTGCATGGTGTCTTTCTTTGGCACACTGTGATTCTGTGACACCCAAAACTCAGCTGTGCCTGGGGTGCCAGTTTCACACACTCTGGATTTCAAGGGGAAAGTTTGTGAAAGTACACAAAAATAGATAGGGTCAACTTCTCCTCTCAGATTCCAAGATCCCACTGGTTTCAGTAGGTACAGTAACTCCTCACTGAAGGTTGTTTCATTGTTATGTTGTTTATCCATTAGAGTACATGCACGTTTAAAGTTGTGCAATGCTCCTTTATAACATCTTTTTCGAGAAAAGCAGCTCGTCTTTTGGGGACTTGGAACCAGGGTGGGCCAGAATCCCCCCCCCCTTTACCTGTCCCTTAAGTTCCCTGTAAAGTACTGTTCAGCTGCCCTCCTTTTGTCTTGGTGCTGCTCTGGGGAGGCTCCTGCTTGCTGTGGGGGGTGAAAAGGGAGATAGATGCTAATGTAAGGGTGTCCCGCTGCCCTGATTGCACCCCCCCCCACCCATGTCATACCCCATCTCCACAAAGCAAGTTGCAAACAGCTACAGATTCCCAAGTCTAAACCCTGATCTACAGTACAGCACTTAAAAGGGCAGTGTTCTTAAAGGATGTATTATTTTGAGACAACTGGCATTGTTTCGAAATAACAATGCAAGTGTCTACACAGCCATTCCGTTATTTTGAAATAAGTTTGAAATAACAGATGGCTTATTCTGAAATCTGTAAACCTCATTCTACGAGGAATAACACCTGTTCTGAAATAGCTATTTCGAAATAAAGCATGTGTAGATGCTCCACTGCTGCTATTTCAAAATAGCAAGAACAGTTGTGCAAGAGGGCTTATTGCTGAGCGGGAGCATCATAGTTCTTGCACAAGAAGCCCTGATTTCATCCATGAGAACGTCAGTGTTCTTGCGCAAGAACTCCTCGCCAGTGTAGACAGGCAGCAAGTTTTTGCACAAAAGCGGCCGCTTTTGCGCAAGATCGCGCCAATATAGACACTGCTACTGAGTCTGACCATCGCAAGTGGAGACAGTTTACTTTGGATCCCCAAAGTCAGGAGTATTCACACACAAGGTTTATTAATATCAAAGAGGATATGGCAAGTATAAAGGGTGTCAAAGGGTATGCCTACACTGCAAAGCTATTTCTGGATACCACAGTATCCCAAAATAACTATCCCTTGTTTTCACAGCAAGCCCATTATTTCAAGCTTGCTATTCCAAAATCTCTGTAAACCTCATTCTACGAGGAGTAACGGACTTTTCTAAATAGTGTTTTATTTTGAAATTTGGTGCTGTGTAGACAATGCCAAATGACAAAATAAGCTATTTCAAAATAGCATCAAAATAGGATACACAATTTGCATAGCTCAAATTGTGTATCTTATTTTGCGTTACAGGGCAGTGTAGATGCACCCAAAAGGAGCAGAACTGGAACCTCATTTTGGACCCATCTCCCAACATTCATGCTGGCCCCTGACAGAACTGACTTTACAGCAAGCCATTTGATGAAGCGCATTTTAATTAGCACAAACTGAAAACATCTTTTTTTAAATCTGTTTTGTTATTGCTTTTTACAGTAAATGGTTCTTAGAATACAAGATGATATGCATGCTGTCCTGTCAATTGTTAACTAACATTTCTAAACTATCACTTTGTAGTCTTCCCTAACTGAATGCACAATCTTGACTTTACAGCAAGCCATTTGATGAAGCGCATTTTAATTAGCACAAACTGAAAACATCTTTTTTTAAATCTGTTTTGTTATTGCTTTTTACAGTAAATGGTTCTTAGAATACAAGATGATATGCATGCTGTCCTGTCAATTGTTAACTAACATTTCTAAACTATCACTTTGTAGTCTTCCCTAACTGAATGCACAATCTTCTTCTACTCAGATTAGTAGAAGGGGAAACACAGCCCATACTCCACTGTCAAAAATGTACTGTTCTATACCTCAAGAGTCTACCTTTCCTCAGATTTTTTAAATTGCTTTTGCCATTTTACATCTGTGGATGGAGCATGAATTAATTTACCAACCCTGTGATTTTTATGCCTTTGCTAGTCATGTGTGTTCCCTCTTACTCACAAAATTCCTTTCAAAAGAGTTAGAGCTCTTGGCAGAGCATATAGAATAACATCACTTTTACTAGCATTCACAGGTGTCTTCTTTCAGAGAGATGAAGTAAGAGGGTTTTCCAGTGGCATTACGTAATGATGCTCTCAAGTGAATGCATAGTGGGTTAGGATCACTGGGAGTGGCTACGTTTCCTAGCATCTTTTCACTGATAATTTAGTCTAGAATTGGCAGCTGTCCTCTAGCGATGGTGAATTCTGTCTTCAAACCAACGTCCACTTAAGCTTCTATCCCACAGTAGTTCCTTCTGACTAGATGATTTTAGCACCATCTGGCACTTTGAGCCAAATTCAGATCTAGTGCCAGCAGATGCAACTCTCATGGAAGTCTCTGGGACAAACTCAGCATTTAGGCATTCAGTAGCAGTCCAGTTCTGATCTCACCTCTATTTTATACCAGTGTGACTTCTCTGAAGTCTGTGGAATTAGTCCTGATTTACTCTAATGTACAGAAAGAGCATGTCTTACACAATAAAGGGGAAGAAGGTGACCTGTCAGAAAGAAAATAAATGAACAGAAATGCATAGAATATATGAATGGGACTAGTTTACCTTCTGTACGGTATGAATGAAACCAGAGGAAGAGGGTCAAGTTTCAAGAGGGGCCTAGCTTGGTGAGGTGCCAGAAACTCAGCAATATAAACTAGGGTCAGGTTGCTACTACACTAGATCTTTAGCAAGAAGAGTAAAATTCATAGAGGGATAAGGGATCTTTCGGAAAAGGCTTTATTTTCTGCAAGATCAGCGTCTAGACTGGCGCTTTTTTCCAGCAAAGCTCCGTGCTAAAAAAAAGTGGCAGCCATTTTTATGCTAATGAAACAGGGGAGATTTAAATTCCCGCTTCATTAGCAATTGTGATACGTCTAATTTACATCCCTTTTACGAAAAAGGGATGTAGTCTAGACATAGCCTACCAGTCTCCCATGTTACTTATTGCTAATGAAACACACATCTTCCTGCAAATTGTTTTTCCAGGTGAACTTCCTTCTCCTTTGCTGTGTTAGCTACATGCATTTTTTTACACACTTGAGTACCACATAGGTGCAAGTAGGATGTTCATTCACCACTTAATACCAGTAATCTAATGCCCCCTCTATGGTGCACGCCTGTGGTTTTCAAAATACAGGTCACAACCCAGGACTGGATCATGGAATGTCCGGTCTTGTTACTGCAAGACGGAAGGTGACCAGTGGGGGTGCTAACACAGGCTACCTGCCTCTCTTGGCACTATAGACTGTTCTGTGCCCCAGAAGTGGCCGGTAGCAGGCCTGGGTCCTAGATAGGGGAGCAGGGCAGAGTGCTATGTTTGCCCCTGCCCCAAACACTAACTCTGCACTCCCACTGGTTGGGAACCTGCTGCTGGCTGCTTCTGGGGCGCAGCCTGGTCTGTGGTGCTAGGAAAGGCTGCCCCTCTGACCAGGAGCCGTTCAAGGTAAACTCCTCCTGCCCCAGCCCTGACCCTTCCCTTAAACCAGAGTGCCCTCTTACACCCCAAAGCTCTCATCCTCAGCCCCACCCAGAGCCCACACTCTAGTCAAATGATGTTGGGTCATGGGCATCAACAATTTTCTTCACCTGGAGAAAAAAGGTTTGAAAACTGCTGGTATACACTGTGGTTTGCATCACTGTTGAATTTTGACCTAAATCTTGACACTGGTCCTATATTATAATGGGAAACTGAAGCCATGTCTATGGTTTTCTCCAAGGTCAAACATGCTATTATTTTGAATGCCACAGAATATTAAGCACAAATGAAGGCATTAATAAGCCTAAAACAAAGTTAACAGATTAAATATTAAGCAAATACAGAGATGAGGCTGAAGTAAATTCCCAGGAAAGACTCCAATAGGGCTTTTTTGTGATACAGATTGTTTCTGTAATATTATTAGTCTCTCAAATTGTAATGCATATTTTTCAGCCTGGCAGAGAGAAAAAGAGATTGATTCAAACCATCCTTTAATGGCTTCTTTTGGCATAGATGAGCTAAAGAGTTTACACAACTAAAAGGATGAAGTTTAAAATGGCCACTTTGACATAAAAACTTAACTAGATTTATATGCACCATAGTTGTAACCGTGTTGGTTCCAGGATATTAGACAGACGAGAATGGTGAGGTAATCTGATATTGCTTCACCCCCTTGTGTAACTAGATTTATGATGTAAGTAAGTCCAACTGTGTTTAAAAGTGCACTGAAAGAGAATTATCAAACTGGAGTGACAAAGTGGAGGAGCTATTCTTTGTTGGACCAACTGCTGCTGGTGAAAGAGAAAAGCTTTCAAACTTAGAGATCTGAAGAAGAGCTCTATGTAAGCTCAAAAGATTGTCTCTAATATCATGGGTCCAAACCAAGACTGGCAAGATTGGGTTTTATAACCAAGGAGTCATAGAACCCTGTGTAAATAATGCAGACCTCAGAAGAAAACATGGTTGACAACCAGGACATACCTTGTACCCTTACTAAGAGGGCAGTTTAGAGTTCAGGGCTTACTCAAGCAATCAAAATCAGGTTGCTTAGATTCTTAACCTCCCAAGTAGAGGGCCTCTTAGAAATCTGTAAATCTTTATCTCTTATCGACAGAGATGATTTGGCAACCTGTGAATGTCAACAGTACTTTGTTTCCAAATCTTTCCAGTGACATATTGCCTTACACCGGGGTGGGCAATAATTTTTGCCTGGAGATCACTTCAAAAATTTGTGAAGTAGCCCCATACCACCCCGGAAGGGGTGGGGTCTAAACAAGAAGGAGTAGAGCTACCCACCCTCGCTTTGC